GGAAAAAGAGCAACGAAAATTCTCAAAGTGGAACAAATTAGCAACAAGAAAGCAACAAATACTGGCATTACCGGTTTTGAGTTTTTATGTCAGAAAACGGAGTTCTCGGGAATTGGATCTGGCATGGCTTATTCCATCATCATTTTCGAAAAAAAAAAAGGAACCGAGATTCTAAAAAGGGAAGTAACAAATTCTGCCATGATCCATTTTGAGTGTTTATGTCAGAAAACAGTGTTCTCGTAAAATTAGTTTAGCATGGAATCTTTATTCATCATTACTTTCTAAAAAAAAAAACGAGAGCAACAGAAATATTAAACGAGGAACACCATGATCCGACAACGAACATTCTGGTATGATCATTTTCAATTCAACATATCATATAGAGACGGTTGCTGTGGTGCAGCTGGATGAAACAACTGTTTTCTGTGATGAAGAGAAATGGAAAAATTTGAAAGTGTGAACAAATTAGCAACAAATTAGTGCTACATTTTGGTATGCCAGTTTTACAATATAAAAACAACATAAAAAAGTTGCAGTGTCATCTTATCCTGAAGCTGGCATGGATTAATTTTTTTCTGTAATGAAGACAATTGCGGAAATTTGAATGATGGAACAAATTAGCACTACAATTTGGTATATTTGTTCCTCAATTCGGTGGTGAAATGAAAAAGTTGCCGTGCCAACTTCTTGTGAGAAGCTGGCATGGAATCATTTTTTTCTGTGATGAGGATAAATGCGGAAATTCGAATAGGGGAACAAATTAGCAACAAATTAGCACTACAATTTGGTAAATTTGTTTCCGAATTCGGTGTCAAAATGAAAAAGTTGCCGTGCCAACTTCCCGTGAAGCTGGCATGGACTCAATTTTTCCTATATCTGCAGAAGAACAGAAGCAACGGATTTTTAGAAAGTGGAACAAATTAGCAACTGAAAAGCACCAAATTCTGTTACAAAAACTTTTGGATTTTGTTGAGGTGGTCGTGCTGGCGTAACGTACGTATTTTTTTATGTTATTTGGCCTCTTTCCATAATATCTTTAGAGTAAGAAACACAAGTTTTTCTGGAGGTTTTTTTATTCATTTACACAGGCCTTATCATTTTTTCAGAATTATTCTGATAAAACAACCCAAGTGGTACTCTGTATACTTAAAGCTGTATATGTGATCATATTTTTTAGGGCACAAATTCACCCTATAGGATCCCATACATACATACATACACAATATTGTATCATATTGAACTTTCAAAGTACCCTTAGAGGAAAATATTTATGGAAAAAACCACTCCTACCAGCAGGGGCGTCCGCAGAAATAATCTCAGGGAGGGGCAAGTCACAATCAAAAATGTACAATATTCACTACATATAAAAAAAAACAGTTTTTGCACGACCTATAGGCGATTTTACACCAACAAAAGCGGGAATACAGGATACACGGTATACCGAGTAGGCACTCTCTAGGCTAAAAAATTTTCCGGGATTTTTCTGGCAATAAATCTACCACTATGTTTGCAGCAGCTTCTTCAATAGTTTTTCCACATATTCCTGCAATATTTATTGAAAAAACGTTGGAAAGCAATCAAGAAAATATGCTACCACACTTTTTCAATTTTCACAAAAAGCAATATGGATACTCTTCTTTATCGGAAGTCATAATAATCAAATAACTTCATTTTGTGATTATTGTGTTTCATTTTCATATTGACAATAATTGATTTTATCATAAGATTCTTCCAATTAAAATCGTCCAGTCGTGCAAAAAATGGTATATAAACCTCTGAAGTGAGTTCTTTCTTCAAAAATCATGCATTTTACTCTCTTGATATATAATCTACTATTATTCTACATAAAAAATGGAATAAAAAAAAAAAGAAAAATAATTGAATTGACACCACATAGGTATTCTGTTTACAGCCAAGATTACAATAAAAAATTGCACATGACTATTCCACTCTTGATCTCGAGAACCAATCAGAATCGACCATTGTCACGGTTTCTTCTGTATTCTAGGGATATTTTTTGTTTATTAAATTTTATCGGACTTGCTCTACCAATACAGAAGCCGAATTGACCCACACGTGACCAACAAACCTCGTTTATCAGCGATAAAATTTTGACATCGTGTCTGGTCAAGATTGCTTTGGATCCAAATCTGAGACATCAATCTAAGTTCCTACTTTATTTTATTTACTTATAATTTGCGTTAGTGAGACATTTTGTACGAAAGGCGAGACAATTTTATTCTGGCTGGACGTTTCATGTGTAATTTAAATAGTTTGCATATTTGTTGACGGTGTCTGACACAACAATACTAGAATTCAAATTCCTTTTTGAAGTAATCTTCTTCAATTAGTCAAGTTATTGTGACTGATAAATTACCAGATGATGTGGCGCAACTGATAGGGTTGTTGCGCGAGGATACGAAGGTCGGTGGTTCGAGTCCCTCGGCAACGATATCTTTTTTTTAATTATTTCATGTCACATGAATTCAATTTTTTTTTTAATTGGATAGCAATTGTATACACTCTTTTGAGAGCAACCATCTCCAAGATAATAAAAAAAATACTGTTTGTTAAAATTGTACATTCCACTTTGTGAATAACTATAAGTAGGTAGTTAATTTCTAAAAAATTGAATTCTGTATTTCATTACTATCATTATGTTCTTATTCGCAGTTTGAGTTGGAATATACCTGAATTATGTTTCCTATTTCTTATATATATTGTCTCATTCAATCATGAAATAGTCATACGAATACAACTCGTGATACTATTTTTCCTGGAAATATTCGTCGATTGACATACTCCAGCTTGCTGCTCTAATCTGTCGTAACAATCACCGAATATAATTATCTTGTTCAAACAAAAATGGCATTCTTATAGAGTCTTGAGCAAATTTATCAATAACTTTGTTGATAAAATTACCTCTATATCTATCTATAAGATGTCGATGAATACTAATTGAACAAAGTCTCAGAAAGTCACTATAATAAGCGCTAATCAGAATAGGAATTGAGTAATGCAAATGTATCTTGTTTATAAAGTATCTGAGTAAAGACCAGGCGCTAGGGGGGGGACGAGTGCCCCCCCTTGCCCCCCCCCCTCCGGACGCCCCTGCCTACCAGGCGGATATCCAGCTTCCATGGGTTGGGGGTTAATTGTGGTTCAGGGAGGACATAAACCAAAAAAGCGGCACAGGTGAAATTTTTTTGTTGTTCAAGGTCAAATGCTTTCAAATTGATAGTTAGGTTTGTCAGCAGGGTTTCATAAAGATGGAAAATCATGATTTCAAATTCAGTAGGGAATTTAATATTCCTAAAGGCATCAAAAAAAGAATTATAAATGTCAAGTTCACTTCGACCTGAAAAAAACTGCTTGAGTTTTCTTTAGTCAGACAATTTAATGAATAATCCAGTGAATGAGTTATATCACATTATTGTTGATATGGTTTTTTCAATTTCTCCACTGGAAGATTCTTCAAATCTAGACGTTTCCACAGATTATACACTTTTCTGACAATTGAAGTTTGAGAAAACATGACATAAAGCATGGAAAATATGTTTTCCTATGACCAACTATGAAAACAGCACAAAACACATTGATTTGTTATTGAGAAAGTGACTCGTTTCACTATGATAACTAAGATGCCTAGCATTTCAATGATAACATAATATAACAGTTAGAAAGTTTGAAAGTAAAACTCACATGGGTGGAAATATTCGAAAATCACACAGTAACAGGGTCTATAGATTATGATGTAACAATGAATGATTATTATGCTGAATTATGGTAAGTTAAGTTATGGTCAAGTTAATAGAAAGTTAGTGTCGATTTAACATGAGTTATTGTCGTTAATGTTGACGTAATGTTAAGTTGATGAAAAGTTGAAATCAAGTTAATTTCAATTGAAAGTTGAAATCAAGTTGATTTCAATTGAAAGTTGAATTAATGTCAATGTATTGGCAATTTAGTGATTAATGTGAAGTTAATGTCAATTTTGAGTTAATGTTGATTTAATGTTGAGTTAATGTTGAATAATTATTGAGTTAATGTTAAGTTGATGTTGAGTCAATGTTAGGTTAATTTTAAGTTAATGTTGAGTTCATGTTGAGTTAATGTTAAGTTAATTTCAAGTTTATGTTAAGTTAACGGTAAACTAATGATGTCATTTAAATATTGAAGTAAAATTAAATAATAATGATATCACCTTCATGTGATCAAATATGATTAGAAACATGAACCCTACTCTGGTCTTATAAACACTCATGACATATAAATATTTGTGGTCATAGGAAAAATAGTGTACACAACTCCTTGGAAAGTGCATTTCCTGCTGAAATATGTCACTTTTCACACTAGTTATGTAATATACTATTGCAATTTTGGTTTTGTTAATGTGATGCAAACTTTTTTCAAATTGTCAAAATTTAAAACTAGCAAACTGCAGTTTTTGCATTTTTCAGTTTAAAGGAAGAAATAGATTAGATACTAGTTACCTGTTGGATGAAATAAGATTCATTCTGTGAATCTTAAGTTAGTTGATCTATAATCTTATTGTTGGTATTTCCCCCCCTTTGTATACACACCTGACTCCTACTCACTTACATTTTGAAAATATGATTTTTAAAAGTTTTGAAAAACATTTTTAATGGACTACATACTTCTATTGAAAACTAATACCATCTATATCTGGAATACCATTTTTCATCATACTGGCTCAAACTTTTGCTTGCACTGAAACTGAATGCTTTTTGTCTTTATTTGGTATTTTGCATATATTCAAGGATTGATAGGGCATGATTCTTGATGAAAAATCACAGGCATTAACTTGTGAAAAATTCTTGAAACATTCTAGTATTTTTCATTTATTATGATAAATGTGTTCCTTTGGGTACTTGCCATTTATTGTGACTCTGCTTGTTGTTGTCATAGACAAAGAAAGTTGTTCAGTTATTTAAGAGAATACTGAAATATGAAGAATATAATATATTTTTTATGCATACCATCATTAAGTGGAGCTCTACGATAATTATCAAAAGATATGGTAACCTTGGAGGTTCCATTAAACTTCTCTTCAGTCCGTTTCAACTCATCATCATAGTCTTTGTCAAACTGCATCTGCAGCATCCGAGCAATCATGGCATCACTATCATCATTGGAAATATTTTGCAACTCATCTACCAATATATTGGAGGATATTGAAGCTGTTGGGGCTCCCACTTTGGAGGCATGCAGTGATTCTGAGTTTTTCAGGAATTTGTTATCTTCTTTCTCCTGTAGATCTCTCGCGAGTTCTTCAGACATAATATCATGGAGACATACAGGATCTGGTTTTTCAATTTTAGCCCAAGGACTTGACATTTTGAGTTTTTTTTATTAGTTGTGAACTGTTGACTGTTGGAAAAATAATTAACTTGTTGGCAATGTTTTACCTTACCTTAATAATTTTCAAGTGAAATAAATATTGTGCAATGTTTGGAAATTTAAAATAAATACCAAAGTATCTTTTGTTGCCTTTTGTTTGTCTGGTTCTGTTTCTGTCTTTGTCACTCAGCTCACTCAGCTGTGAATATATGACAATCAGATGACATTTATAAGACCTTGATTTATAAGAGCGTGTCGTTGACAGTGACAGACACGATCTTGGACAGACACAATCTACAGGTCTGTTCGCTGTTTCTGCATGAAATTTATATTGTACATTGATTGTACATTGATTGTACACTACATATTTAACCACTACACTTTTCGGCGTGATCGAGTGTAGTGGATGACCAATAACGGCTAAATATCTAGACTGTCTGACGGGTTATACCTAAATAAAGGGTATCAGTTGAATCATCTAATAAATGGAAGAGCTAGTTAGTAGATACTAGGGTCCCTTGATGGAAGTTGACGTTGAAGTCATCCTAACAGGGTACGGACAGATCTCAGATCATAGCTGCATTCTTTTTCCATTTTTTTCAATGATCTAGAGATTTTAGTTTTGTCTACTGGCATCCCTGACATTGCTGTCACGTCACATCCATGGGCGCTACAAAAAATCATTCAAAATTTTAATAATAGTGTCTTAGGGAAACATCGACTCCCTTTGCTTCATTTCTTCCAGAAATGGGTTGTTCTTTCGTGAAACCCAGGAATGTTTCCGGAGAGGACGACGGCAAATGTGGCCACAGCGCCCGCACTCGCGTGCCTCTGGAGGATCTGGTCTTTTCCTGTGTTTGGGTAGATTCTTGCATTTTAAATGAAGGAAAAGATGAATTGTGCCACACACCAAACCCGTGAGGTGATGGATGTCGAATGACTTTTTGCTGTCAGTCCCCGTTTTCCTATATACAGCGTGATATTTTCGAACCATTCGACTGCCCAGTCGACGACATCCCCCCCCTCAAAAAGTTGGATTTATTTAATTATTAAATTCAACTTATAACAAAGAGGAAAAAAAATCATACAATACAATTATAAAGATAATACTTGTCGCAAATATTATCAGCAAAACTTGCAGCACTTTCTCTGAACAGCTCGTCGAACTGGCCGTGAATTATCGCTATCAACATCAACTAATAATTGTTCTTGGTTATTGACAGTACTTTTCAATTCACTCTTGTGTTGTCCAACATCCAGATCACTTTCTTCCACCTCTTCTCTCGCAATTTCATTTCCGCGAGGGTGTCCTCTATACGATCGAAGATCATCTGCATGAACTTTCACTACGAGTCCATCTCGAACAACTTCATAGGTGTTTTGACCTAATACATTGACGACAGAATGCGGACCAGTCCAGGTCTTACCCAACCCTCTATCATCAGTATTTCTAAACTCTCGAACCATCACAGCTTGGCCTTGTTGGAATTGCGCTGAAGCTCTTATGGGCTCAGGATAAGCAATCCTATGAAAGTTCTCTTGATTAGCCTTAGCTTTTTGTACCCGATCATTCCTTTCTTCCATTGGAATTCCAAGTTGATGAATTTCTCCAGGTCGATTCAGTTCAGCACCAAAAAGTACATAACTCGGACTCATCCCTGTAGCAGCATTCTTTCTATTGTTGATAGAGAATATAATATCTGAAATATTATCGTCCCATCTCTCTACACCTTTTTGCATGGTTTGACTTCTCAAGGCTTTCTTGATTTCCTGATTCCTTCTTTCCACTGGATTTGCTCGTTGGTGGAAAATTGGAGTCGTATAATGTACCATGTGGTGATCATTCATGAAACCCGACCACATACGACTCTTGAACTGAGGTCCGTTATCTGTGATGACTGTTTGTGGAAAACCCCACCGGCAGAACTGGGAACGCAGGAATTCTGTAATTTTTATAGTAGTTGCAATAGGCGTAGGTGCTGTCTCTGTCCATTTAGAAAATACGTCTGATAAAACGATAAGAAATCTGTTCTCTTTTATTGTTACTGGGTAGGGGCCCATTACATCGACACTTACAGTTTGCCATGGAGCGGTAGGTGCTTTGGGGCGCATCGGAGCATGCACTTGAACACGACTAGCCTTGGTAGATGCACAAATTTGACATAGTCGAACGTGATCTCGAACTGTTCGCCATAAACCCGACCAACTGAAACGATTTCGAATACTTCGGAAAGTTTCATCTCGTCCAGGATGGTTGGAATAACTGGAATCGTGAAATTCATAGAGAACCCTTGGTTGCAATTTTCTTGGTACTTCCAAAACTTCTATCCCATTCTTGGTGTTCCATAGAAATCCATCTCTCACCAAATAATGATTACGAAGTTCTCGTTGCCGTCCTCGAAGATTTTCGGGAGATTTGTTCTGCAAATTATTCCACAATATCATGCTATTCTGAATGTCTGGATCAGCGAGTTGTTCTTGTTTCACAACATTTTCGAGTGTTTCTGTTTCCACTAGACATAACATTGGCTCTTGTGCTGGTTCGCCAAGCATGTTACTCGATGACGGTGGTAATAATCTTTCATCGTATTCTTCTCTGGTTGTATCTACAGACCCGAGCGGATTTCTTGATAAAAAATCAGCCAACTGATTTTCTTTACCTGGACAGTGCTGTACATCATAAGAAAATTCTTGAAGGAGCAAAGACCACCGAGTCAACTTAGCTTTCTCATCTTTGAATTTAGATAGCCAAGATAGAGCTCGACTGTCGGTTACCAGAGTGAAAGAATGGTCTTCTAGATATGGTCGATATCGTTTGCAGGCCCAAACAACTGCTAGAACCTCTTGTTCATTCACATGGAAACGTTGCTCTGTCTTGGTGAATTTTGCACTAATATATGATATGACTAGTTTATTTCCATTCGAATCTAGTTGGTATAAAACAGCTCCCATGCCCCTTTGTGATGCATCAGTTTGTAAGAAGAATCTTTTGTGTGGATCAGGTCTGTGAAGAATTAATGGTTTCGACAATTCTTTTTTCAGTGTAATAAATGCAGTTTCACACTCATCAGTCCAGATAAATTTCTTCCTACCTAAAAGATCAGTCATCGGAGCTGATATGGAAGCGAAATCGGAGATGAATTCTCTCAACCAGTTGGCGGTTCCAAGAAAACATTGCAGTTCCTTGAATGATTTGGGACTTGTATAATCCAAGATTTTCAGTTGATGTTTTTCTTGTGGTGTGTTGACTTGACTATCGATGCAGTGTCCTAAGTACTGTAAATGAGAAGTAGCGAATTGGCATTTCGATAAGGAACATCTCAACTGATTCACCCTTAAGCGCTCAAGAACCAGCGTCAAATGTTTGAAGTGTTCCTCATGATTCTCTGAATAAATGATTATATCGTCTAGATAAACTTTGACGAAAATGTCGATATATCCCCTGAAAACTTCGACCATCAACTTTTGGAATGTAGATGGTGCATTTTTTAGGCCAAATGGCATTACCAAAAACTCATACACACCCCCATCAGGTGTACCAAATGCAGTTAGTTTTATGCTATCCTCATGCATTGGCACCTGCCAGTACCCACTTCTGAGGTCAAGGGATGTGAACACTTTGCTGGTTCCAAGCTCACGAATAGTGTCCCGTATATGGGGAATTTGGGAAACTTCCGATTCTGATTGTGAATTCAATTGTCTATAATCGACACAAAAACGTGGTTTGCCATCTTTCTTCTGTACTATCACTACCGGAGAACAGTACGCAGATGTGCTTCGACGGATGACTCCTGCAGCCAGCATTTTCTTGACTTCATTATGTATGGTTTCTTTCTTCTGCAGTGAGTACTGGTAACGTCTAATCTGAAAGGGTTTATCATCTCGAAGTCGAATATGATGTGAAGTAGAACGGGTAGTAGGTTGATGCAAGCCTTCTTCGAAAACATCTGAAAAATTCTTCAATAGGGTCAGATAATCCTCTCGATGTTCTTTTGGTATTTGTTCAGGTCGTAATTCAAAATCGATAATGTCTTTTACATCTTCATAATCACGATTCGCCCAGTAAACTGTCAAGCGTCTTTTACTACCGACGTACATGCAGCCTTGCACGAAATCCAGGATTGCTTCGTGTTGCTGCATCCAGTTTTGACCAAGTATCACATTCTCAGTAATGGATTCTAAGACATAAAAATCTGACGACAATAGTTGATCGCCGATTATTATATCTGTTTTCAATCTACCGGATGTGAAAAAATCATGATTTGAGTTAGCCGCTTTTACTTTAGTATGCTCTTTAATTATTTCCATTGATTGTGTGAACTTTTTTTTTTTTTTTTTTTTTTTTTTTTTCAGGCTTCGACTTCTAGGTCATTTGCCTGTTCAGGTAAGTCCAAATCTTATATCTTCTTTAGTAGGCCAGTTTCATTAAGAAAATCTATTGTTTTTTGTGAAAAAAACTCATTTTTCAGGCACAGTTGCAGATTATCTGGAAGGGAGCATTCGTTTCTTGCTTGGGTGTACTCAGAGCATTCTAGGAGTAAGTGATCTACTGTCATTTGCACATCACAGTTTCCACATGTTGGAGGTCTGGCGCCACACAGTAGGTAATTAGATGTGATGTGGGTATGACCAATTCTCAATCGGGTAAGTGCCACTTGCTCTCTCTTACGGTGGGATGGAAAAGGTAGTGATTCATCTACTTTAGACTTGATATTTTTTAATTTGTGATTGCTATCATTCCATTCCGCGTTCCATTTATCTCGTATTTTATTTTTCAGATGAATCTTCATGTCTTCAACTCTAATTGGGATGTCGTTCATGTAATTGTCTCCAGTTGCGTTGCGAGCTGCTATATCTGCGAGTTCGTTACCAGCTATACCAATATGTCCAGGAATCCAGAAGAAAATTATTTTCCTGTCACAGTTTTGGAGGATGTGGACCACAGATGAAATGATCTGAACTAGAGGATCGTTATTGTAACCGTTTTGTATGGATTGGAGTGAGCTGCATGAATCAGAGCAAATCAGGTAGGTGCCTATTTCTAATGTTTCGATAAATCTTAGTGCCTGAAGAATAGCATATAATTCTGCTGTGAATATGGATGATATTGGGTTTAAGGTCCACTGATGAGTTTCTCCCATGTAAGAGAAAGCTGCTCCAACTCCTTGGTC